AAGCACAAGGGGAGCACGCGGGAACTCACCTGCAAGTTTGTCTTTGCTTTCCTCAACACGTCCCGTGTCCTCGACACTGTCAACAAGCACACAGAGCATCCGTGAGTCGCCAATTTTGAGAGACCCCGTTAGACGAGGATATGATATTTTACATGATCTAGGAGTAGGAGGGACTCACGTTGGTTGACTATAAAGTGCTCCATGCTATCTTTGGTGCGGTTGGAGCTTGTCACTCTCTCCGTGGCGTCCTTGAGAGCCCGCTCGTGCTCCGAGAGCTTCAGACGAAGCGAGGCGACCTCGTCCCTCAGAGACCGGTCCTGTAAACGCACACGCGTACGCGCACAGGCAGGGTACATGTTTAGGGGCTGTTACTTCGCTTGACTTACCAAAAAAAGTTTGACCAAAACTCGTTCATTTGTTCAGACTACTGCTGCCTGATGTCTCTCTGTAAGACCAGGAGGCGTTTCTTCAGACCTGATTGGATTCCTCGTGGTTCGGCAGAGCTGCTCTCCAGAACATCCGCAGCAGAGCGCCGGCCTCCTCCAGGATCTCTCCCAGGGTTTTAGTGTCAGACAGCAGCTTGCCGACTGGACCCGAGTCTGTGGGCTGGGACACACAGGAAGAAGGTATTCTGAGTCAATTCAGCAGCCATTAGCCAACAAAAACGCGATGACCAGCAGCTAAAAACAGGCGCATCATAATAATAAGAAAATAACCGTAAATGTTTTTTTTCATGGTTTGTAATTTTTCATAATGGTATTTTTGTAATTAAATTTTAAAATTAGATTGGGACAACACTGCAGCCTCTAGACCAGGGGTCTCAAACTCGCGGCCCGCGGGCCAATTGCGGCCCTCGGGACGATATTTTGTGGCCCCGCCTTCATATGAAAGTGTAATGTTAGTGCGGCCCGCGAGTTCCATATTGTAGCAACCTCGCTGTTAGCAGCCCGGGACCAGAGAACCGCCCCATCAACCATTCTTACCGATTACCCACAAATAATCCTCTTTTCACCCCAGGACGACAAAACAAGGCAGACACACACACACACACACACACACACACACACACACACACACACACACACACACACCACTTGGCTGGCTGCTCCAAATCTTTGTGGAAGGCTCTGATAGTTAGACGGGTCTGGATAAGAACGCTGACAGTGCTTGTTTTAGCTCACAGTCCTACGGAACAGCCACAGTTACTGGTGACAAACCCTCTCACTCGGGGTCAGTCTCCCTCACCTGATGAAGGCGGAACTCCTGCGTCGTGCTCAGGGAATAAAATGTAGTCTCCATCTTGCGGAGGAGAGCGCCGCCCTCCAGGAGCTGCTGCTGCAGAGCTGTGAAGTCGTCCACATGGCCCACGGCGTGGCGGCCGCGGCGGTTGGCGAATGAGCCGTCAGGGGCTTGGCCCTGCAGCGACGAGGCTGAAGGGAGAGAAAATTTAGAGAATTAGTAACAGGAGGGAAAGGCGTGAAATCGATGTGCCGTGGAGTCCCTGCATGTGACAAACTGAAGAATCAGCAGAATAATAAAAGAATCTGATGAGTTGAGATAGAAAAGGGTTGTTTGAATATCTAGAGGGCAAAAAGATTGGAGTGTGAGAAATAAACTTGACTGTTTCAGGTAGAACTGTTGCAACGTGAGCTTCTCACCTTGACCGGATGCTCCAGTTTCTGCAGCATGTTTCTGTGCAGGATGTTGAGGAGAGGAAGGACTGATAAGTCCAGTGTCTCTCACAGGAGGCGAGGGAACATTTTCTGTGGAGGAAGATTTCCATCAGCAACTGCAGAAATCTCCTCCTCAATAGGATATCTTTCTCATTTATTGAGCGCCGAAAGAATTGCTATTTTTTAAACCCGCTGTTGTGGTCGGCTTAACCCCATCTCATTTCAACGCGCCGACGGGTGTGCCGGGCATACTGACCGTTGAACAGCCGTCTCCTGGAGGGAGGCTGTGTGTCGGCCTGTCTGCTCAGCTGCTGCTCCAGCTGAACGTGCAGCTCTCCAGGGTCAAAAGTCGCAGCGCCGTGTCCAAGTTGGGCACCGTCGCATCCACGACCTGATTGGAAACAAACAAACACATATGAGCAATTGCGGGTATTTTTTTTAGACGTTAGAAGGCCAGAAGTCGCCTGTGGATGTTCATACCTGCATGTGTGTTTGCGTTGACTCCACACACTCTGTGGTACACCTGCAGCTCACACTGAAGAGAGTGGACCAGACTGCGGCTCTCACACAGCTGCTGCTGCAGGACGCTCACGTCGTGCTGCAGCCTAAGAACACACAGATATACCTTATTCAGACAGTTATTCTCAAATCCAGCTCTTTTTTTTCAAAGCAGCCGGTGGAAATGTTGGCTCACTTGCACCACTATAGTTGTGAGGACCCAGCTGGACGCGACACATTCGGAGGAGCAGTATGTGCCGGCTCCTTTCTGGACAAAAGGCTTGTTTCACCTCTGAACACACTCAGCATCAATGACGGATCCAGTTAGAGTACAAGCAGATGTTTACCTTGAAGCACCTGTAACCCTAATGCAGCAGTGATGTTGCGTACTACTGATAAAACCTGCAGTACATCTGTACATCACCGTAACAATGCGAAAGGACAATTAAAGAATTTCAAGGGTTTTCTAGTTCATCTTCACTCTCTAAATGTTTTTGAGGATGTGAGGACCTGACAAATGTCCCCATTTTCCAAAAACGTCTTCCTCTCAAGTACATGAACACACACGCAGACCCACAAACCTGTTGATGGCTTCCTGGTTCTTCTGTCTGTCATGTTTCAGTTGTGTCATCTCTTGGCTGCAGGCTTCAGCCTCGGTTTGCAGCTTCCTGCTTTGCTCCGCCCACCTCTCCACCTCCAGCCCCGCCTCCCTCAGCTGCTCCGCTTCCTTTATGCCCTCTGTAGGAGACATGGGACATTACATTTTCACATTACACTGTTATTTAGCCCCAAAGAAAGTCATAACTGAGGCCTGAATGAGGTAGAAGCAAAGTAACCCATGTAGCAGGCTCAAAAGCTCTGAATCTGCTGAATAAACGTAATGGATTTCTCCACAGGTCGAGGTCCTGGTAGTGGGCAGCAGACTGTACCTCTGGTGGCCTGTTTAAGCTGGTTCTGCAGACTGACGTTCTCTTCCTTCATAAGTCTGAGCTCACTGGACAGCTGGCCGACGGAGTCCAGACCCTGGATGTAGATGTTGGTAGGAGCACCTGGAGACGACATGGAGGCGTGAAGCATGTGATATTTATCATGCGCAAGGTAAAATGCTAACAAGCTTTTGAATACATTAGATTGCATATTAAATATCTCATACTCATATTAGATTTTTAACGTGTGTGTGTGTGTTACCTTTCTCAGTGGAGGTGTGAGCCAGCCTCTCCTCCAGCTGCTGCCGGAGGCGATCGTTGGTCTGGATGGAGTCCTCCAGTTTCTGTCTCAGACTTCTGATCTCCCTCAGGTGCTCCTTCATCAGGTCTGAACCTATAGCACAACACACATCCACTGGTTTGAGGCAAAGCATGAGTATAAAATACAAAACTGTCCACACAGGTGTGGAAGGCCCAGTGTTTCTGCATGTTTCCCCCTACTTATATTACAACTAAAAGGTTTTATCTGGTCTTTATTAGCAACCAGCTATTATACTTTTGTGTTCTTATAATGGCTTTTTGTTTGAGACTCGTATGAATTCCCTGTACATAATCACAGTCAACGTTCTATCTTGTCAAAGCCTCTGGTAAACAGCACTGGAATAATAAAAAGTAGAGTTAATATAACAAATTATTAAGGTGTCTACCTGTGTTACTGGCGCCGGATTGGTACCCCGAGGATCCCGAGGACAGGTCTGCTCCGAGTCTCACCGGTCGGGTACCGTAGCTCATATCCCACAATGCACCGCTCTCCAACAGACTTGCGCCGGCCTTCATTGCCGAGCTGGCGTCCGGGCCGCTGCTGAACGGAGAAGGCTGGTATCCATTGTAGGAGAGAGGCAGAAAGGCAGAGCAGTCGGGCTGCTGGTGGGCACACGGGAAACCATGAAGTGGTTTGGACTGCGGAGTGGAAAACCCTGAAGAAGAAGATGAAGTCACATGAAAGTAGGTTAGTTAAAAACTACAGAGTCTTGGAGAGATGAAGGGATTTCTTTTGACGTGGCGATCGACTTAATCAGCCAAATGACATCGGCCTGGCCTTGTGCTTCTCAGAGCTCCATGCATCGTTAGTGTTTCAAAATCACACTCTGTGTTCATCAAGCATCAAATGATGACCAGTTACTTAATAGGAAAGAGAGAGCAGAGGGTGTTAAATATTTAGTCAAAGGGAAGAGGACAGGAAGAGAGCATAATGCCTGCATGCAGCCGGGTTTACATCCATAATCCTCATACTGATTGTGATGCAGCTGCACGCCTAATCCTCTGGGTGTGCAAACACATTATATTGAGCAGATAGCTCCACATGCAGACAACACTCATTTGGTTGTTGAGTAACGGGAAAATGCTCTTCCGCAAGTCTGAACAGTTACTTGGGAAGACGCTAGATTTGCTAGAACATCGTCACCATCTCGAGACATCAGTGTGTTTGTGTGCACGATAGAAGTTTACACTGTTCCCCTTCCAAAATGTCTGCTGTTTATAGTCAATCCGGAGTCAGTTAGTTCACACTCCCCCTCGCGCAAACCCAAACCCGTCAGGCCGACGCACTCTCATTGTCTGCCAGCTGCCTCTGTAACATCTGCAGCTCCTGCTGGACCTCCGCCAGGGAGAACCCCTCTCCCCTGCTGCCCGGGTAACGGGTGCGCAGGGTTGCGGGGTGGGAGTGGAAGGGCAAAGGTACCCTGCGGGCGGTGGAGGAGGGGAAGGAGGGGGGAGTGGGGAAGGGGGCAGAGGCAGGAGCTGGGAGGAGAAGAAGAATGAAGCACAAGAGTAAAAAAAAAAACGAAGTACGGGCAAGATGCGCGTCAGAGGTGGAGGGGTGAAGGTGTAACAATGTCGCAAGGAAAGTATTTCCCCGTGAAGGGACTTCTCTGCAGCCCGGGGGATTCACTCTAAGCCCCGTCCTACCTGTCTGACTCCTCATGTCCGCGGGCACGTGCGGCGAGCCGGGGCGATGCATGCTGGGGCAGCTGAGGCAGGACTGGGTTCTATGGGATGAGGTGATGGATGGAGGTACAGACGCATGATGTGACATGGTGCCACTGTGGCAATCTGGAAACGAAAAGAGCCGGCGGTCACGCTGAAGGATGTGATGTGACAGAGAGCAGGTACATGTATGATATTTGTTATGAAGATAACGGCATGATGCTGCAGAGGTCACGAGACAGCAGCTGACTCAAAAGTGTAAGCCTTGTGTTATATAGGTGCTATACATATTTCTTATGTCATAGACTCTCAAGCGTGGACCGAGTCTACGACTATCTAATAATGAGTGTTGTGTCTGTGTTTCTCGGCCATAGAGCTCATATCAGTCCAGTGTTCTTACAAGCACCCAATGTGGATTAATCCCCGCTGAAAAATAGTCCCCAACAACACTACAGGGGCTGTTTTAGGACACCACGGAGATGAAACAGTTGTAGAAAATGACACGTGTTGTGTTATTGTAGTGATTACTTCGAACTCCAGTAATACAACATCCATCTCACCTGCTCTGGTGAAGGTCCGCGACTCCTTCTGACCGAGCTCGCTGGCAGCGTCCACGTCGGAGCAAGGATCGAGGTCCTCGTTCGTGGACCCGTGCTCGTCGGAGACGTAGGAGATGCGGTCCGACTGGTCGGTGGCGTCGGAGAGGGCGTGGCCGCTGCAGGGCGTGTCAGAGCGCTGATGGGGATGATGCTGGTGGTGCTGGTTTAGTTTGGTGCGGAGAGACTCGATGATCTTGTCTTTCTGCTGCAGCTCCTTACTGAGCCTGTAACGCACACGTGTACACACATCACAAACAGACACACACACACACGCACACATAGTAGAGGCCATTTATATGTGGTTTGACTATCAGTGAAAGCAATTTACACACCAGCTATTAGGTCTCATTTTCACCACTGATTTCCCTTAAGCCAATTAGCCATTAACACCCATGCACACAAAATAAATTCTTTAGTTAATCGCATACGACCTGTTGGACCAGTTGGTCTTGACCCAATCATACATCAAATTATACCTTAACTTGCTCCTACACTGGTCAGATCCGTTTTTGTTACGTACTTGTCAACCACTCAGACAATCGTATTCACAATGTTCAGCCACAGAGCGTCAGAACGGCTGCATCAGCTGCCCAAGTTGACTCAAAGGATGAGGAGCATCAACGAGCGGCGAAGCACCAGGACCGCTGACCTGCACCGGAGGCTTTGCTGAGCGCATTGCGTAGCTTGAGGGGAAGCCTCTTAGTGACGCTGCATCGCATCACACTGCATAATAGTGCAGACTCACGCTCACACACTGACAATGCAAACACACGCGTGCACACACACAGATACACATTCACAAGACGATTACAACATCCGAGTTCCCTCTTTTTATGGTCACATCACAAACACTTTAAGACAAAATACTGGACTTTGTTTCTTTGCTTTCATGTGTGAAATTGTCTAGTGAAATTACATCAATATAAAATCTGATGTGTTGTGTCTGTGAGTTTGGTGGGATTAATTAATCCACGTCAGCATTAATACTGGAAGCCAGGAGGAGCAGCTAGCCTGTGTCAGCCAACAGATTCTGTCTCCTTTCTTTCACGTGTTGTCTGACCCTCCGTTGGTTTCAGATTGTTGCTCCATTAATAGTAACAGTTTAACAGACATATCTGCCAAGGAAATATCATCTATAGCATAATCTGATTTGTCTCTGTTTTTCTATTATAGACTTCTAGTTGCCTCAGATGTATGTGTTTCTAATTCAACAATTGACATTGTTTTACATTGATTTCATTCAATCACTATAATCGTATTTCTCGTCCAACACCGTTTCACAATTATTTCCAAAGCTTTTGTTTTTTAGCAGTTTAAATCATTTCCTATGGTAAATGAGTAGGTTCAGATGTTCTACATTTATGAGCCATTATCATGGTCATCCCAAGAGGTTGTTCTTTTGCGTCCGTCTTACTTCTCGAGTTGTGCGAGCAATGCCCTCTTGTCCCTGTCGGTGAGCTTCTTCAGCAGCAGGAGTTCTCTCTCCTGGGCCTTCCACTCCCACAGCGAGAAGGAGAACAGCGAGTCTCTGTACAGCGGGCTGCTTCTCGACAGCATGACCTTCCACAAAGGAGCCATCAGGCGCCTCGGGGGCCGTCTGCCCGGGCTACTGCATCCCTCCTCTCTCTCTCAGACCCCCCGGCCACTTCCCCCCCCCGGCCGTGTCTCCAGAGGTGACCGGGCGCGGCTCATCAGCCCGGCGGCTGAGGTCCTGACCTCAGTCCGTGGGAGGCGGCAGGCGCAATGGACGAGCAGAGCGCGAGTAGCGGATAAAAGGATGACTGAGCGTGTGAAAAGCAGAGCAGATCCTCAGATTAAGTTTGGGCTTCCCAGGTAGATAGATGTTGGGGGTTTCCTTCACACACACACACCTACACGCAGATGCTCGGATTGTGTGGGCCAGAACCACAGGTCGTAACCTAAAGAGATGCCAAATCAGATTCCAGAGACATCGGGTGGAAGCTCGCAGGGCGACAAAGTGTTGATTCGAGGGTTTGAAACGAATCCAAACGCTGATGCAGATCCAACCGCAGCGGATCGGTCGGATGGTTTGATGACAGGAACAGATGTCAGCAGAGATTAAGGAAATTGAATTCCGTCTGCAGCTCAGCACAGTTTAGAGATGAGCTGAAGCGTGAAATGAATTCAAAAAAGCAAAAAATGGAAAGAAATATTGCTTTAATTAGCTTTCATTCAATTCTTGGTTTTTTTAAAATTTGTATTATTCCATATTCCACCGCCGCCCGTCTCCGGTCCCTAAATACGACTGGATTGACGTCTTGAACGGTGCACGCAAAAGGAAAGCCTCTTATTCAGCACTTTGGACACGTCCTATCCCACCAGCGAGCGCGGCAGCAACAGCAGCATCATCAGCAGCAGCCCCTGCGGTAGAGACGCAGTGACGGAGGAGCAACGCGCAGAGGGAGGAGAGGGATGTGCGTACGAAGGGACGTCCGGATCCCCGGGGCTTCACGCTGCACTGCCCACCAGAGAAAGGGACGATCGTCCACAAAGCAGCACTTCCTCTCCTCCTCTTGTTTGTTTGCTGTACGCCTCGTCTCTGGCTGAATTCATAAATGAGAGTGGCTCTTCTTTACGGGATTCGTCGGGGGCTTGGACGGTGGAAGAGGAAGCTTCACGCCGGAAAGAGAGTTTGCATCCAGCGCCGGCTTGCAGAAACTCCAAGAACCAATAGTAAGTACGTGGAAAAAAAATGTCAAAACTGCATCCTCTGTCCACAAATAAAAATGAAATCCACGTTTTGTGATGGGAGGATCTTATATAATACAGATCAGAGCCGTGCTGAATGTTCTCCCGATGCGCTGAAGCAAGCTGATGCTCTCCGTAGAGCTGCGTCCTGCTGCTGCTTCCAAACACGTTCTCCTCCCTCGCCCCCCCCCACCCTCTCTCTCTCTCCTGCTCTCTCGCTGCGTTTAGCTGCTCATGACCTATTTCCCTCCCCATAGGAAGTCTTAATAACTTAACCTGATTAGAGGCCATGTCAACATGCTCGGAGTTTAACACAAGCAGCAAAAGCCTCTGCAGCCTTGCACAATCATGCAACCCAACACACACACACAGAATATAGACATACATTCATTGGGATATTGTATAATTTATTGGTTGCCGCGATCGATGGCACACACCTTCTCTAGTGTTTTCTCCATATGGTGTTAATTTGAAATATGTAACAGGTAGGTACATTATTTTGTAAATCAGGGTCCTTATTGTTTATATGGGGACACCTTGTAAAGCAGTAGTGCCGCCTAAGTGTGAATTTGGTTAATGTGTAGACTAATGCCCACCCCCTGTATGTGCACTCACAATCAGAGGGACAGTCTAAATGAAAACACACTCAATAAATCTCCCTCACATCTGGTTGGCCATCTGTGCTGCAACAACACAATGTTAGATGACTGGAGGCCTCTCTCTCCTTCTCTCTCTCTCTCTCTCTCTCTCTCTCTCTCTATGTCTCTCGTTCTCTCTGAGGGGACACTCATTTTTCACAGAGCATTGTTTGTTAGACCCAGCACTCACCCTTTCTAACTATGGTGAAGCTTAAAGGACCATACCAGTGTTTTTTTACAGCACGTTTCAGCCTATTGGCCCCTCGTGGGCTTTCATGCAGTTACTGACCACCGTCTGCAAGATACTCTATATGAACTTTGAGATTAGGAATCTTTTTCCACCTTTCAGGCAGTGCTCTGACTTTTCAACCTAAACCAGATTTGGAAAATCATAGACAAGCATCAAGGAGCAGAACGAGATGAGATACAAATGACTGAACATCCAGGACATCCATCACAGAAGCCCTCAGGCTGCACTTTTAGCTTTTTACGAAAAGAAACAGATGCTTTTGAAATACTCATAAAAGAGGCTTGTGGACTGTTTACACTGTTCCATCCTATTAAATCCTCCAACCTATTGGACTTAAAATTAATTTATTGCTTCTTTTCATGAAAGACTGCGGTCAAATATATGGCTTCACTTATTAAATATATGAAATAATAATTCATATATTTGTTTGACACCATACACGTTAACTTCTAAGCCAACTCGACTGATTTGTTAATAGTATAAATATGATGATTAGTGGAGTTAATTGCACCATAATATCATTGTTTCTTTTTTCAAACACTAAGAATATTGGTATCCTGTTCATTCTGTGATAAACAATGAAATCTACAGAACATCAGACATTTTTGTTCCTCTTGTATAACTTGCGCGGCCCATTCTTTTTTTCTGTCCGCCTAATTAGCTGACCGATTGACCGGACATTTAAGGTCCTCGCTGGGACATCAGCAGAGCCCTGATGGTCACGACTCCCCAGCAGAAATTAATGAGCTGTGTGGTTCGGATGAGTGTGTTGTGTCGGCGGGTGCACGGCTGCCCTGCAGCACTTTATGGACTTTATAGAGCAGCTGACGTAACAAGTTGCTGAAGGGTCCAACGAGACGTCCCGCCGGCTGCGACGACCACCAGCGCGAAATAAGACTTGGCAGGGTGTGAAATACCAGTTAAGGGAAGCAAATAAGGCTCGTGGCACAGATGCACGAAGATATAAGACAAAGACTTTCTCCAATTCCAGAGAATTGGCAGAGAAATATTCAGTTTGAAGGTTTGGATCTTTTTAACGGCGCACACACTCAGTCACTGATTCATTTTTTAAGGGACTCTCGCTTTAAGCAAACCGTTGGCTAAAGTGTCACCTTACTTTGTGTCGTACAGATCGCAGTATTTGTAACGACAAATGGGAAATCTAAGAACGTTTTAAACAGGAAACCACAAGAAGTCGAGATCAGCTGACAACCAAAGACATTGCTAAGCTTCTTTTTGTCAGCTTGTTAGCTGTTTATACAAAGACATTATGAAAAATCCCACATCGGTCTCCAAAAGACAGAAGTTAATAACCTTATTTAACCTTTAATTGAATTTGAAAAGAGGAGAAATTCATCTCATTATTTGTAAAAGAAAATAAGAAAGAAACCATTTTTATTCAATTTGGAAGCTATGTAACATTAGACCGTGCTTATTTAAAACTACGCAAATGGCGTCACTTCCTTTCACAGCTCCATTACATTGCCAGTGTAGTAAAAAGACAAAATCAATTGATTTGTTATGTTATTTACATAAAATGTATCCAATTCCTAATGGAAAAATAATAATACTACAAAAACGATTATGCCGTAGCTGACGATGAGTAAATAAGGTTTTGTTGTCGTTCGAGACATGTTGCTAAAGGGGTCTGAAATATGTTTTTCTATCAGCCACAGAATCAACGAGTCTGTGTCCTTCTGTTGGTGAGACGACCGAACCTCCCCTCCTGGACTAACCAGCTATCTCTGCCATTAACTGTCCGGTGGGATCATTGCTCATTAACTAGCTGGTTATTCCGTTGGCTCCGACGTCACACACCAATACTTTCCATTGACCAACATGAAGCCCGCTGTCACGCCGGAGACACAAGCAGGAGTAGGAACACACACACACGCACACACGCACGCACGCACAGATGAGTATGTGTCCACTGACCGGATGGCGAGCAGCTCTGTCTTCTCATCTGGATCTTCAGGATGATCTCCTGTTGGCGATACGACAGCATCCTCCGTGTTCACATTTCTAATTACACTTTCAATAAATCCCCTGTAAAAATGTGGGCCGCGGCTCAGATGACGAGAACCACTCACGTCCGCTGATCTTGGCGGCGACGCGCTGCGCCAGGGCGCCGCTCTGAGCCAGCTGGTCCCTGAAGCTCTGGCCCATGTAGTAGTCGATGTCGTTGGCCCTCAGCAGCTCCTCGAAGGCCTTGGTGGTGTCTCCCAGGTGCTGCGTGAGGATGTTGCACACGCCGCGGCCCTCCCTCAGCCGCTGGCGGAGGTGCGACAGCTCTCTGGCCTGAGCCTGGATCAGAGTGTCGAATTTACTACGGAAGGAGGAGACCAGAATTGAACGTTGCACGTTTTGATCCTCACAGTAGACGCAAACGTAAAGAAAGCAGCTGCTGTTGAGATCAGCTACTCGTCCTCAGGTCCGCACAGATATCCACAGATCATTTCATTCATAATCGACTTTGTCAATCAGCTTTTAGAAACATATAATAGACTATTTTTAGGAACGCTCTAAAGTTGAGTTACTGTAACCGGCTTAAGGGCTTTCCCCTAAATTATGAATATTGTAAATGTTTATAATATTAGTATATGTATGAATATATCAATATTTGGACGTGCATATTAACAGGGGAACTCAAATCAGGCAGCACCAACGCCTCGCTGTAGCTACACTTTCCCACATGTCGATTGGATTCCTGCTAATCCCCTTCGACTGTCTGACTTATTTTTTTAAACAATATCTCCCCTTTAGTCAAAAAGATGGAAATTATTTACTGCTGTATTTCACAAACTCTTCAAATAAATAAAAGGAAACCATAGTTTCCTGTCACTCACCCTGGCCAAGTGGCAGACTTTAGGTCCTCGCTGACAGACTTTTTGCCTCCTTTCCTCAGCTGGTCCTCCAGTGCGTCCACGCGGGACACCAGCTCCTGCAGGCCCTTGTCCGGGTGGGGGTGGCGGGGCGAAGCCAGGGGGCCTCCGTCGGACGACTGCCAGCCCTCGTCCTCCTCCGCCCCGCTCTGGGAGGGCGAGGCCTGGAAGGACCAGTTGACCTTGCGGGGTGTGGAGGGCGCGCAGTCGCTGGCGGCGGAGAGGGACCGCAGACGGCTCTGAAGCCCGCGGATCACTCCCTGAGAGCGGGACAGCTGGGAGCGAAGGTCCTCCACCAGGCGCTGGAGAGACGACATCTCGTCTCCGTCCCCGGAGCTCCGGGTGGGGGTTTTCGTGAAGGTGGAGCTGCCGTTGTTGCTGCTGCTGCTGCCGGCGGGCCACCACTGGGTGCCGCAGTCCAGGGACGTGCACATCTCCAGGTCATCAAACTCTGTCAGGGAACAGCAGCATCAAGCAAAACCACTGAACCCTTTCAAAATGGAAAATAAATGAAGCGGCAAACAGAGGTTACTGTCCGCTGCCCTTTGCTGCCCTCCAGTGTTGGATGATGCTACTACTACTGATTGTACGTTTCCTTCATTTTGTCTGCGCAAAGTCAAATTGACAGCAAACGCCGTCTCCAGCGGTTGGACGTACCTGGGCTGCTGGTGTCTTCCCTCTCGGCCTCGTTCTCACTGCGGCCGCACGTCTCGTAGCCCATGTCCTGCAGGTCCACCTGGATCTGCTTACTGTCCTGCTGCACTGCTGTCTCCGCTAGAAACACGCAAAAGCCACTTTACTTACTTATAAGTTGACGCTTTGATGTCTTTTGGGGCACTTGATTTACACAAAGCAAAACAGCATGACTTTCCACTCACTGAGCAGCTCCCTGTAGTCCTTGAGCTGCTCAGCCTGAGCGTGCACTGTGGCTTCAGACACCATCAGTCTGTCCTGCAGCTCTTTGCTCTTCTGCTGCAGACGGACCGTCTTCCCAGAGGACACGGCGCCCTGCGGCTGACCGGCCGGCAGCTCGATGTCCAGGGCATCCTGGACAACAAACAGGAAAAGAGACAAAGAAAACACTTAGGTTGGCTTCATTAGTATGGACAGCTGCTGTCTTATATGCTCCCTTACCTGTGGGGAGTTGGCGGGCAGGTGCAGGGACTCGGGTCCGGCGGCTCTCAGCTCATCAGAGGTCTGGACGTTGATCCGCGAAAGAGACAACTCGCCATCCCAAGTGTCCCACGTCTCAGAGCTTTCCTCCTCCTCTTCATCCTCCTCCACCCCTTCTATGGTCACATCCAACTCCTCCTCCTCCTCCTCCTCGTCCTCCTCAGCGCGGTCGGACACTTTCTGGTCATCACTTTGTGTACTGTCACTCAGCTGATGCCTCAAATCTCCGTTTTCTGCCCGCAGGCTAAAAAGAGCTTTCCTTGAAAGCAGACGGAGGGTTAGAAACAGGTTTCAGTCGGTCTGCATTCACCACTGTGAAAAATCTGCAGAAATTTTAGGTTTAAAAAAAATGTATTTGTGTTTAAAAATAAAAAAAAACAAAGTAACTTAATGAAAAAGCAAGTCGTTTTGTGAGGAGGAAATGGTAAAATGGGACTATTTTCAGCTACGGATTAATTCAAGCGTTGCGGCAGTGCGTCTTTGAGTCATTGAGTCAAAATGAACGAGTTGGTGTGTGTTCATGGCGATAGAAGAACTGTAGTGCTGTAGAGCGGCTCACTGAAGTGCTCCAATGCAGGAATGTACACGCGCACTCACTACTTGGATCCTTATTCAAATTGTCTTACCTCATCTGTGAAAGTGAGGAGAAGCCGGTCTTCTCCAGTTGCGCCTTCAGCTCTCCCAGCTCTCTCTCCACCGCCCTCTTCTGCTCCACCAGCTGTTTGACCTCCGTCAGTCCCTGACCTTCAAAGAACAGGTCCTGGGAAGGAGGCTTTCCTGTACCTCCAGAACCCTGTGGACAGTCAGAAACATCTATGAAAAATAAGCTGCAGGCCCCCGAGATGCAACTTAAGGTTAAAGTAACTGATTACATGCTGAATCGAACTGAACTTCATCCCGATGTTCAGATCAAAAGGTATTCATACCTTGGAGCTGACCCCGGACTGGACCCTCGGCTTGGGCTCCTCTTCATCAACGCTCTCGGTACACTCGCTGTTCAGATCATCATCCGCCTCGTCTTCGTCCTCTGAGCTCAGCTCTGCGCGAGGCAGGAGAAGGAGTTAGATCTCTGCATCTGCTTTATCATTTTTCACTCCACGCGGTGTCACGCTGTCAGCACCGAGAAAACACCCGGATGTTTCCAAAACAGCTGATCATCTTATTTGTTGACACAGTCCTTTTTACATTACAATGCAATCCGCTTCGCCCCTGAATCTAATGTCACGTTCAGGTAACAACGGGTCCTAGTTCACTGACAAGGATCGCTCTGGGTTTTGAATTGATTGTTCTTCAACTCGACAACTTTCAATGTAAAGTCACTGTAGAATACTTCAGGAACAGAATAGATCAACGGAAGGGAAGGTGATTAAAGAGAACAGGATTATGGGTAATTTAAGCCCTAATAGTGAGCTAAATCACGGATTTGGTGTCTTATTCATATGAATTTTCAGGGCTGAAGTCACGTCCTCAGTATTCTTTCTGTGTGTTGCTTTTCACCATTAAACAGCAAATTGTAGTTTGCTTTTTACTTTACAACAGTGTGGGGATTTCTTTCTATTTCACACAACCCCCGTAGGAGCAAATATAATGTGAAATAAATGAATATCTTGCAGGCTGGGTGACCAACATTTCATAGGGAATTTGGAGAGAAAATTTCTAAAATAATGTTGCTTGGCCCTTCCAAGCTTGCAAACGGAGAACCAGGAAAAACTGGATATTTGGGACGTTGTGTGAATTGACATTCAAGCTGTGAGGTGTGTCCAACACAGAAAAGGAGGGGGGGTCTTGGTAATGTGAAACTGGACTTTGTTCACACACAACTGTGAATGCATGAGTGAGTATGCACATGACTCAGATCTACAGTGAGAAATCATGGAATATATTCAGAAGGCTTATTTATTGAACAGCTCAATTACACGTAAATACTATATCACATAGGAGGAAAGAAGCGTTCATACTTACTGTGCTCTGTTGGGACAATAAATTGTGTGATATTTGTTAATTTTGAATCGCAGAGAGCGGATGATGTTGAATTGCACATTGAACGCATTTAGTCTCATTAACTCACAAAAACAAACTTGTGTTTCAAACATCTAAATATTTTCTTCTTAAAAGACGGCTGTAAAGATATTGTACGCATTAATGATCACATAAAGGCATTATGGAATGTGCTTATCTTTTCATATTGTTCGGTAAAACAGAACGTGAGTGGTTGTTGTTTAGCGGCTCATTCAAGCTGCAGGCATACATAAATAAATACGTAAAAACATTTACAACAAGTTTTGAGTCATACAAAATAGAAAATATTCTGAAGAAAAAAGCAGTCTTTAACATTTAACTGCACTAAAACATTTAAATAAAACCTGACCATCACTGATGAAAAAACCCAGATGAGTTAAAGTCAAGAGCTTTGTTCCAAAAGGACAAAATGTACGTTATATTTAAGATTATTATCTTCAGAGTTCAAGTCTGAGATTGGACCAGGTTTGATTGATCAATCAGGATATTAGTTTTCTGTTTGGTCGGCAGCCATTTTCTTCTATGGACTACAAGCTTCTTTGTGCACAAGCAACTAAAACAAAGCTATTGATCATGATCAGTGAGAAGGATGCTGAAGCAAAACCTCAACCTAATCTACTGATTAGGTTAAAGACTAAAGACGGAACTTGCTTTGTCCGTTCTGGGCTACCGTAGAAACGTGGCGCTGTAACATGGCGGAATATGTGTGATATGTAGATATAAAAGGCTTGTTCCAGCTTCCAGGTGATTGAACACAAATGGAAACATCATTATGAAAAACTATATGAGCTACAATTAACTGTATCATGATACAAACGTAGAGAAGTGTTAAGAGGCGTGCAGAACAGAAATGACAGTACAAACGTCTCCAGTGCCATTTACACACACAAATTGTTAAATCTTGTTAAATCCGTGTGAGCACCACCCAGCACCACCACAGCGGGACACTCGGAGCCCCACACCACAGCCGCGGCTCGCCGAAGCGGTCACAGACACCGTCCCATGCTTCTCTGATGCCCACCTCCAAACCCGGGCTGCCTGCCGATGGGCCCTGTGGCCGGGGGGCCGTCCCGCTGGACCAGGCTCTCCCTCAGATGCTGGACCTCCTGGGTCAACCGCTCCACCAGCGGGAGACCGGAGGGCTCCACCATCTGCCTCTGGAGGTCCTACAGACACATGCACGCACGCACACACACAAAAAAAGAGAAAAAAAATGTATACACACATGCATTCACACGCAACATACAAAGCTGCATTTTAAAAATCCTCAGAAAAAAAGATTCTGTTTATTTCAACTAATAACGTCCTCAGAGTCTCTCATATTGGGAAATATGTCACATGAACCATAAAAAGGTCCCTCTCACTGACCCTGATGATCTGCTCTTTGACATGTAGTGTCCCGGTGAGGGAGTCCACCCGGCTGGCCAGCTCCTGGACCTCCTTTCCACTCCTTAGAGCCAGACGCAGCTCCTCCTGCACCACCTGGAGCTCCACAGCCGAGTCCGGTCCGGAGTGGGACGCCGATCCGACACCTGAGCTCAGCTGTCTGCGGAGCTCCTGCAGCCTCCCCGTCTGCTCGGCGAGCACCTCACCGAGCCGGCCCGCGGAGTCCTGGAAGCAGATCCGTGTTACTTTATCCGTGTAGGACGACCGAACGCGTCATCTGAGGTCCCCTGCTCTACCTGAATGTACTGGTCCCTGGAGCTGATGGTTCGGAGAAGATCCTGAACCTGCTCCTGATGCTCCTGGGTCTGGTGGGCCCGGTCGGCCATCACTTCCTGGAAGAGGCGGTCTTTGAGCTGGAGGCGGACCTGCAGCTCCTCGAGGACGTCGCTGGGAGCTGACTTGACGTGAGCCAGGAGGGAGCAGCGTAGGTCCTGCATCCAAAAGGACAAGAAAGGACATAAAATCCACAGCAGGAAAATTGACTTAGTACTTGTTATTCAGCTGGTTATGTTCAGAATTATTCATTACCTAGCTGTGCCTTAAATGTAAGTTTTTTTTATTTATTAATAGGAAAATTGTAAGGATCTGACTACATATATAATGGATATAATGGATAACTTTAGGGTCACTTCCTGTCTGTACCTGAGCCTCCTGCGTGCGAGCGTGCAGCGCCGCCTGCAGCTGGCTGATGATGGCGTCTCTCTCTCTCAGGATGCTGCTCAGTCTCTCTTTGCTCTCCAGCTGTTGCCGCTGGACGTTCCTCCAGGCGTCGCACACCTGCTCCAGCTGCAGAGCCTTACCACGCACCAGCACCTCCAGGCTCTGACACACACACACACACACACACAGACAGCCAACAATTAGAAGTGGTGGCGGCAGAGTGAGACGGCGCGTGACCGGTGTGGATTCTCACAGTGATGGTCTCCTCGTTGTTTGACAGGACGCAGCGCTGCCTCTCCAGGTCCCGCTCCTTCTCTCGGAGCAGCAGCTGAAGCCGACGGGCCTCCTCCTCCTTCTCCGCCACGGTGCGGAACTTGTCGTCCACCGCTCGCTGGGGGTTTAAAAGGAAAAATACATGAAGCACGTTTTGTCGGACCCCGGATGTGCGTGTGTGTGTGTGCTTTTACCTCGAGAGCTTGGTCTCTCTCCTTGATGCGCAGGCGGAGTTTCTGAAGCAGAGAGTCTCTCTTCTCCGTTGGATCCTGCAGCAGCTCACAGTAGTTCTAATTGAAAGCAAGAAGTCAGTGCACACCAGTTCAAGAGTTGAGAATAGGACACTACCTGTGTGTGTGTGTGTGTGTGTGTCTTGGTTTGGGCGTGATAAAAACATTTTTTCATTTAACATGTGAAGTGTGCAAAGAATCTTCAGACTTCTTTCCTGCAATGTGACCTCCGTGTGACTCCTGGAGGTGTTTGTAAGTGCTGGTGCAGATTTATCAACAAGCCTTAAGAGTGTCTGACCTCTATCAGCTGCTCTTTGGTCTGCAGGGACGTCCTCAGCTCTCGGATGGTCCTCTCGCTCTCCTCCTCCTGCCTCGCTCTCTCTCCCTGGGCCTCCCTCCGCTGCTCCTCTCTCTCCTGCAGGGCCGATCGGGCCTCCTCCAGAGCCAGCTGCAGATCCTGAGCGCACGCGTCAAAGAGGTCGGCGGACTCGTTAAAAGGAAAACCGAAGAAATATAAGACGGAAGCATAGCAATTCAAAATCCCCACCTGGTTGTGCCTCTCTGTCTCCCTCCTGTGCTGCAGCGCCCCCTGCAGGTCTCTCTCCGACCTCTGCAGGGCTCGGCTCAGGTCCTCCTGCGTCCTGCCCGCCTGCCGCTGCCCCCGCTGACCCGCCTGCAGCTCCAGCTGGGCCTGGAAGAGGGACGCCTGCAGTGCCAGGACCTCGCCCTGACCGCCAATACAGGCCGCACCCGACACCTGCAGGTCCAACCAGGCAGAGAGGGGACGGGCGCGAAAGGACAGACAAAGGAACGTTTTGATGTACGGTACGAATCCGTGTCCTCTTACGTATTTATACAGATAAAGTTCCACGGTGGCATCGTTCAGAGACAAACCTGCAGCTGGTTGCTGTTGGCGAGCTCTTTGAGAGAACACAGCATCTTATTCTGTTCCTCGATCACCCGACACAGCTCTGCAGCCTGCGCACACACACACACACACACACACACACACACACACACAGTTTGACTGTGCTTTCTTTATGCGTTTCCTCTTTTGACCCTTTGCTAAGTCTTTTCTTTCTCTGTCTGACATGTTTTCTTGTTTGTGTCTACATGTCTGTCTCTCTGTCTACCTCTGTCTCTTTGGAGTTTGCGGCATCAGTGATGTTCTGGATGCTTCTCTCCTGTTGCCGGGCTTCCTCCTGGGCCGAACGAAGCTGCAACTCCATCTTACAGAGACGCTCCTGCAACTTCTACACACACAAGTCTCAGTACAGAAAAGCTTTGCCGTTTGCCCTCAGATGGGCGAGGATGTGGAGTTGGTGATGGTGACGTGTTCGTACCTGGTTCCTGGTCTCGCTCTCTCTGATCTTGGCTTGGAGCAGGCCGACCTGGTCCCGGGCCTTCTGCAGCTCGCCGACACAATGACCTGCATCGCTGTCGTAGCGGCTGAGCTCGCTCTGCTGCTCATCAATCCGCCTCTGAAAGACAAGGCGCACATGACTTGGATAAGTCATGCAGTGTATGTTTGTTTCCATTTTAATGAGTCCAGTAGTTGCTAGAGATAAACAATCAGTGGTGAAAGGTTGACACTTTTCTACATGTGTGTTATTCCTGCAGCTGTTTTGTGAATGATTTTTTTTAAAGAAATCCACGCGCAAAACACTATAAATCATGGGTCCCATAATAAAAATAGTAATCTGACAATGTTCTGAGAGAGATTTTTTAAAAGGTGGAAATGGTTGAAATGGTAAAATGTTATTGTGAGACATTTAGGAGAGAACGTGATGCGTCTTCGCTTTGGTTGAATCGTGAAACAGACCTGTGGAGTGACAGGTCAGCCGCTTCAGACATTTATTTCCCCAGAATGTAAAACGCTGCAGGGCCTTTATCCGAGTGTACGGGGCAGGAGTGTAATTTCCTCAGTTTGAGGTCTTTGATACCGGCATGTTGTTGTAGAATAGACCAATGAGCCAACATGGCGGCCCGTAACAGAGCAGCCTTGTCTCTGTCTGTCCCCTCCTGGCACACTGAACCACATTCACACTAATCATCAACATAACAATAGACGTTATGAAGCTGGATGAGCCGGGGCAGAGCGCTTCACGGGAACTGACTGCTTGGAGACTGTTCCTATGGCAACGGAAGTGTTGCTAGGATACCGACAAGGAGGAGTATTTATGCTGCCCCCCCGAGAGGGTAATCAAGACGGCTGGGTGTGTTCGACCTCGCTCCGTCTGAATGCAGGGCGCACTGAGCCTTTCGGCAAATCTTCAGATTTGGTTTTCTGGACGTTATTTTACAGACATCCAGAAGCCGCCGTGTTTGAGCCTGACAAGTAGGCTGAAAGGCATTTTGGTTGTTGTTGGTCTGTGATTCAGAGGTGTGGGACCAGGCGGATACAGCTCTCTGCTGCAGAAGGACATAGTCCCTCATTACTCAGCTCAGAACGAAAAAAAATAATCATATTTTAACTGTAGATTATAATTTTACTCATATTTCTTATTTATTGAATTGTAATTTATCAAATTTTCTTTACTTTTCCATAAAGTTTGGGAAGATGAAGAAATACAGAGTGCAAGAAGTCCTGACTTTTGTTCCCTTGTATTGGTAAATTCTTAAAAACCTGCCCTTCTCTGACGGACTCAAGATTGACAGGCTCAACTGGAGTGAGGTCATAGGTCACCCAGGCATCGCAGCCACTAGTCTACCTGGTGGAAACGGAACGGGCCGCACGGAACATAATCGTCCAGCCACTGCTCCTCCATCTCGTCCATCTCCGCCTGCAAAAGCTCCTGCTGGGGACACACTATCTCCGGTAAGGGCTGGTGGGACAACAGCTCGCAGACTGTCCCTCCACAGGGCGACCTCAGTTGGATGGACAGGGGCAGAGACAGGCCTTGCTCTGGTTTGGCTTTCCCCAGAACTGGGAGCTTGCTGCCCCTTTGGTGCTTCACTGGCCGGTACTCCCAGCCCCTCAGGAGGCTCAGCATCATCTCGAGCCCGGAGAGGGAGCACTCACTCTGGGATTTGTCCCAAGGAGTGTCCCTTCTCGCCGGCGCCTCCTCTGGACCAGTTTCGTCTCCTTCTTTGTGGTTCACAGGAAGGCAGCTCACGTCGACGGCGGTGTCGAGAGATTCCACGGACGATGCCGGGCTGGGGCTCAATCCGTCACACGGGATCTTATCAGTGTCCAACCCGGCCGAAGAGGATTCAAAGACGACAGCTGTGGCCTCAGACTCTTCAGATGTTCTGGCGGGGTCCTCGACTCCCGGAGTGGCTGCCGAGTAGCGGGTAGCCGGACCGCAGGATGTGCTGCGGCGGCCAACCCTTCGAGGCACCTTACACACCGCCTCGTAGTCGGAATCAGCAACGCGGAGCACCGCGCAACCCCGACACCGCCTCGGCTTCTGGCCAGAGACAGAGTCCGCTCCCGGGCACTGGGCATGGTGGTGTTGGTCCAGGGTGTGGTGGTCCAGGGCCGGCTCCTCCTTATCGGCCCAGGATTCGTACAACGAGTAAGTCAGATCGTCCTGGATCATGTGGGTGTATCTCCCATCCTGCAGGGCCGTCAAATCGACCACAGCAGCGTCCTCAGACCCCCCGTCGGTCCCAGCGACCACCGCGACGGACCCGGGCAGAGCCACCGCCCCATCCTCCGCGTTGTTCTTCCGGTACATGCCCCCGACGCACTGCCTCAGTCGGTCTTTCTCCAACAGCAGCTTGTGGAGACGCTCCAGGGACAGGGCCTCCACGCGGGCGATGACCGTGTCGAAGCGGTACATGCGGTCCAGCATGAAGGCGCACTTGGAGCAGGCGAACTCCCCGCGGCCGTCTCGGGTCAGCTCGTGGCCCAGGGCGTGGGACAGCAGCACCTGCAGGTTGGGCTTGGTCGCCGGGTGGAATATCCACCGGCGTTGGTTGCCGCAGAGCTCGCGGGCGCAGATCCTGCAGGCCTCCTTCATCTTCACCACGTCCAGCATCTCAACAGCACGTTACCGACCCGGTATCGACAACGGAGCGGCGCTATGGCGTCAACAGGTTTTTTTTTTTAATCCTTGAAGAGAGTTGCTTTGATGTTTTTGTTGCTTCTTAACCTTTCAGGTCGTGAACTGCTGTTCTTTTAGAAATGAAAGTGGTTTCAAGCTGAAGTTGAATGTGGTTTAAGCGTTTCAGGCTCCATTCTGAGGGAACGATCCAGCGTGAATAAAATCCCTTTAACTGCTCTGCACTGAATCATAAACTTTAATCGAATGGGCAGAAAGAGAGAGTTGGAGATGAACTGACTCCACGCGTGGAAAATTCGGATTGATCATTAACACTTTTTTGGATCATCCGTCTCGTCGTTCCTGTAACCTCGTCGCGCTGGGCGGCAGGGCGGATGTTGGTGAACCGCTTGTCATGCGTTCACTTCCTCGACGGCTCTCTGTAAAAATCATGACAGGTCGGTTCCTGTCCCGGTGATTCCGGCTTTAAGAAACGATCTCACTGCTGTATTTGTTTATTTAAATCAATGACGTCTCTCTGCATGACAGCATCTCCCCGCTGCAGCTGCGCGCCCCCCCCCCACCGTCACAATCCGACACGAACACGGAAAAAAAACAAAACGACCGAGGCTTTTTTTTTGTTTAGGCGCCTGGAGGTTCACCGGAGATTCCCCGAGTGTCCGATCCGTTTCCTCCTCACCGGCAGCGGCGGAGGATGGAGGGAGAGGCCGACGCTCCCCGAGCCGCTCGCATGACGAGATGACGCCGACAGCGAACAAAGATCGTATATTTGCGGGAAGATGTCTCACTCCGAGGATTTAAAAAAACAGAAAATTAATTAAATGTATATTTTAGTTTACACGAATTTTAACTATAAATTAATATGTAAAAATGTTTGAACACAAACCAAACAGCTAATATGAAATAAAAAGGAGATCTCAAGACTTAAATATTTTGTACTTTTTCCTTTTTTTAAGTTCAGTATTAACCAAACCTATATCATAATGCAGAGTTGTTTTAGTGTATCTTTTTTTGTATTGTATGATTATTGGTATTATTATTATTATTATTATTATTATTTATTCATAAGTATGTAAAGTAAGCAGAACATTGTTGTTGTCGGTCGAGTTGAGCTATATTGAACAAATGTAGAAATGGGTACAATTTTCTCAATTGATCACATATTTGGTAACTAGAATGATATCTGTAGATCTGTAGCTTTTGTTGTTTGAAAATGTAGTGGATTGTAAGTAAAAAATTGTCTTCCTCTGAAAGTAGTGGAATACAAGTATCAGGTAGCAATGGACAAGTACCTCCAAACTTAGTACTTTTCTCTGCTTCTCGTTCTTTCTTTCAGTAAATCACTGCACCCGATGTGATAAATGATAAAAGAATACAAAAGAATCGGCTACAACCAACAATCAGCAGAATACTCTCGGAAAGAAAATCCAATAATGAAATTATATTCTTGAACTACAAACAGAACCCACTTGTGCAACACTGCACTTGGTTAAACATTTGGGACTCAATCCGTCACTTATGTTCAATAATGGAGTCAATCCCAGCCAGCATTGGGCAAGAGACGGCGTACACCATTGACTGCTCGCTCGTCAATCACAGGCCTGTCGTAGAGACAGAGAGGCCGCTGGGTGGTCTCAAACCCACTGGGTGGATTCTGACTGCTAACCACCACACCATCTGGACATTTGGGACTCCTTCAGGCGAAACATTCCATCAAAGAGTGAGTACATACTCAACACTTTGAAAAACACAGTTTTTTAATGTGTCCAGTTTTATGACAGACCTTCCAATCTCTCTAAAAGCATTGGATTGCTCTGTTTCTGTCTGCATTCAAACTCCCAATGCTGACATTAAAAGGCACTTCAGCGGGCAGAAACGGATCACTATTTTATTACAGCACCTTATGTCAACTTGTGTAATCCAAGATATTACATTTCCATCATGGTCTTTCGTGCCAATATTTCTCTGTGTGGACGCTATGAACTGAACAGAGCACTCCCGATCGTTTTCCACCGGGTTCATTAAATTCTCTGAATTGACGGCGTGGAATGAGGTCATGCCTTTCCCAGGGTCACCTCGCCCGGCCTTCACACGCATGTCACACAACGAGGAGGGAGTGACCTCTCATTTCCCCTGAAGCTCGTGTCAGCGAATCACATGGCGCCTTAGTAACTGCAGCAGAACTTTGCTCTTAAGACAATGATGTCATTCCAGCAGACACTCAGGCTCTTTTCCCCACAGACTCGCAGATAGTCTTCGTTATCGCAGCAGGGTGGAGGTGTTGTTGGCACAACTCTGTGTGCTCGCGTGTTTAAGTGGACAACCGCCGAAGTCTCTTCTGGCCCTGACTACGTCTACATCCGTCACCCTGCAAGGGCCTCTGGAGACACGCCACCAAAACACAGATCGGAAGGAATGAGGCACGCAATCAAAAATCAATTAATCCTAATCAGAGACGAGTGCCAAACACCGCTGACGGATTGCGCCCGCTGTTTATTTTTCCTCAGAGTGGCAGAAATACCAAAAGAGTGACAAGCAGAGAATTCACAACCGGTTCCTTCAGTGCGCGCGTGGGGCGGCCGGTGAAGCGGCCCTCTGACTGGAATCAGATCTGCTCGCTGAGGAAACGTAGGACTGTCCTGTGCGCGAGAGCCGACCCTGCAGCGACCCGGATTCTCTGACCCAGCGGGTGCCGCTGCGTTCAATTTGGATAAAGATATATTTTTAAAGGAGTAATATCAACTGATACAATTGTGGCCACGTGGTGCGAGGTTTCTACAATTATTTGATTTTGCGGCTCCTTAAAGTCACTTGAAGGTTTAAGAACTTTTTGTTCTTTCTTCTTTTTTTAATCATAGTTTTGTGCTTGAATGTCGTAGGTCTTTAAAAAAGATATGTTATGTGTAAAAGGGAAAGGACAAAGGGCACAGGAAGTAAAAGAAGTAAAGCGGGAGCAAAACAAGCAGAAGGGACTTTATAAAAGAGGAACCAGGCGTGAAGAGTCCACCGAAATGAAAAAGTATTTTGTTACAAAAAAGACCTGTATATTTTTCTACAGTAGAAAGTAAATACAAGATCCTAGCAGTAAATGGTTCTCATGGTTGAAAGATTAAAGTAACCTGCTTCATTCCAGAGTGTGTGTCGTCAATCTTAACAATCTATCTAATTGTTTGTGAGAAAAAACAGCTACACACAAGGAGCCTATATAGCTGTTAGATAAATGGAGTAGAAGAACACAATATTTCCAGAAACATTGAGAGAAATGTGGAGGAAAAGAAGAAAGTGTTCCAAAGAGAGAAATCCACCCGGAGCAAAGACGTCATGCATGCAAGGCAGACCAGGCACCACTATGTGGAGCTGCGTCTCTATTATCTGGGGGGAGGAACACCCGCCGCGTCTGAGTCGTAAACCTTCGTCCCTCCGTTTTCTTACGGCACTGCTTTGCTTTGACAACAAGGAAGATGTCCAATGAAAACAGAACCTCACAGGTCGTGTCACAAACAATATGTAAACCCGTTTTCATTTTTAATGGTGGTTCTGACAAAGTCGCACTGACTCACGTATGAATATAAAAACCGGAGGAAGACGAGGGTTGATCATGCTGACTGGATTCAAGGTCTTTCTGACGTCATTCTTAAGTACAAGTTGACAGACAGCTGCCCAGCTGTCATTAGGATGCATTTGATGAGTGAACACGTGTGTGTTTAAGGCTATGTCCATGTATGTGTCCATGTGTCCATGTAATCCATGTATGGATTCTTTTGAAAGCAGCGGAAAGCAAAAAAAAAAAAAAATACCTCAGTTTCTCTTTCTTTCCTTTTGAGAGGAGAGGAAAGACGGTGAACTTTGACCTCGAGCTCCTCGATTCGGAGAGCCAGCGAATGTTTCTGCTGCGTCAGCTCCTCAATGACCCTGAGAGAGATAAAGAGAGAGAGAGAGAGAGAGAGGAGAGAGGGGAGGGGGGGAGAGGGAGGCTCAGGATAACAGGATTCAAGCTGCGGTGAAGTTCAAGGATCGGACCTGAGGACCACTGTTACTGTTGCAGTTTGTAGGTCAGAGCTCTGGCTCTTTGTCACAGGCTGAAGTGTGAGCAGCAGTACCAGTGGCAACAGCGCTTTAAATAGCACTGATTTCCAGGGCCGCAGCACAAAATCCAGCGGCTTGAATAGCATTCTCTGTTGGCCCCTTCCCTTCCACAAGGGCCCTGTGTACTCAGTCCCCTTGCTCTCATGCTCGTTACATTACGGTATGCTGTTATTAACCTTTTTTTTTTCTAACCTCAACAAAGTTGTTGTATTCCCTAAACGCAACCAATCATTCTACAGTGTTAATCACGTGGCACTGCTTGCCATACGAGGCTGATTTGAAACATATTTTTGGCCCAGAAACCGGTTCAGTCAACATTCAACGTATCTCGTGGTTAGCAGGAGGACACGCTGCCAAGGAAAACATCCTGTGCCAACTGGGTTCTTACTCTTTCATTAATCCATGAGCAGTGTCGCCTATAAATCGCGTCTAATAAAGTGCAAAAGTAGAACGCGGACTCCCGCGTGAACGTTTTCAACGGGAGGTCAAAGTCACCTGTCTTTGTCGGCAACGGTCTGCCGGCCGAGCAGCACACCCGAGCCGCCGCTCTCCTCCTCCGTCCTCTCCACCATCTCTCTCTCCAGAGCCAGGCAGCGCCTCGCCTCGGAGTCCGCCAGCCCGGCCATCCGCTCGGCCTCGCCTCGTGCCAGCGAGGCCTCCTGAACGCGAGTGAGAACATCAAATCAGTGCAAACCTGCCGACGGTTTTACCTCTCGCCGATGTTGCATTTCATTTTGTATAAACAGATGCTTCCCGTGGATTAACACTGTAGTCCTGTTCTCAGGGACCCTGTGAGGGACTTTGTGTGTCTGTACCTCTTGCAGCAGCTGAACTTTGGTTTGGAGGATTTCCTGCATGTGGATGATCTCCTCCTGACGCTCCGACAGGCAACTCTGCAGCTCTGCTTCATTCTGATTGGACAGGCTCTCTGCCGTTGACCTATGGGGTTGTAGTTCGGGACAACAGTTATTCTACAAGGGAAGCGGCAAAATAAAAATTCCCTCTTTGAGGACGCAGCATGTCAGCTTGAAATATTGACCATTATTCATCAGTAGTTACAACGTCTTAAAAGCAATGTTTTGAAATCGTTCATATTGGATCCATTGCACATGTCTACATGGTTGAGGAGAGCCTGACTAACACATGGATGCAATAAAAACAGCTGGCTTCAGGAGCAGATGGGTGTAGGTCATTGGCTTCTCTTTCCCCCGAAAGCAAACTCATGATTTATTCAGGGCTGGCCGATTGGATCAGGGTGTCATTAATGGGAGTCCCAAAGACTCAAAGGTCATAATGCACTGGGCTGAGTGCGTTCTGCCTCTTAAACATGAGTTTTATGGGATGTTTTTCTTGAATTGATTCTGAGTCACTTGGAACGTGTGCTTTAAAATATAGCTAATTTGAAACAGAAGTTTAATAACTCCCATCTAGAGTTTTTCAGTGGTTTGCTGACAATGTAGAATTCAGAATTCAGCCGTTTCCCGGAAATTATTTTCCTTTTCTTGAACCCAAATAAGAAAAGATGGAAAAGACTCAGGAATGACACGTTGTCATAGACAATTATGCAAATGTTTAAGGAGGCTGATCACATGTAAAAAACTTCTCTAAATGCCTAAACTGAAAAGAGGTGTTTTCAGGGCTTTCCTTATAAAATAAATCCTGCACATTTC